GGGGAGGAGGGGCTGTGCCCCTCCCCCACAAAGAACTCACCACTTGGGGCAGGTGGATCTCGGCATGCAGGAAGTTAGGGCGCCCTCCTGGTGGCTCAGCCCGGATGGTGAACTTGGGGACCACGGAGAAGCTGCAGGTGCAGGGGAAGCGGAGAGAAGTTTGAGGAGGAAGCACAGGCCAGGGCTGTCCCTGGCTGTCCTCCCAGGAGCTGTCCCCCACCCAGTCCCAGCCCAGATCCCCCCCCCTCTTACCTCTGGGCATGGGACAGCTCCATGGGGGTCTCTTGGGTCTCACCAGCTTTGCTGCAAGACAGACACAGACCAAGCTCAGGCCCTGCCCTCTAGTCACTTGCTTGCACTATGTTTGTTCTTGGGTGGGGTAGGGGGAACCCTTCAAAAGAGGCTGGCCCCGTATGCGGACATGCACACAGCATCCCTCCCCCGCAGCACGCTTGCCCCCTCCCAGTTCAAACCAGTCTGACCATCATGTTGGCCCCAGCTCCACAGTCCCCAGTACACAGCTCCTCCTGCCCTGCTGGTGCCCCTCACTCCTGAACCACAGCCCCCTAAACCCCCCAGGCTCTGCCGGTTACCCTTAATTCCAACCTGCATCCTCCTTCCCCACGTTGCTAACCCAGCAGGCACCCAACATCCTGGGGGCTGCATGGTGCCCAGGCAGCAGGGGCCCTAGAGCACTGCTCAGAGAGGGCACAACATGGGTCCTGATGCAAACACCATTGAAGGGGAAATCCCACCCAGGGCAGAGGAGGCATCACAGAGGCCCAAACCAGGGAAAGGATGCATGGGGCTCTGGGAACTCCAGAGGGGAGATGGGGGGGCAGAGTCATAGGAGGAAAAGGCAGGGGTGGGGGAGGGAGGAGGAAATCACAGGAGGAAGTGGGATAAGGAGTCTGTTTATGGGAGGGGTCACTGTATGAGAAGGAGGGGCTAAAAATCAGGTGGGTGGAGCCAGAGGCTGTGGTAATAGGAAAAAGGGTAGAGATGCAGAGGAGACAGAGTCAGAGAAGGGTAGAACACCTTAATGGGGGAGAGCCAGGTCCCAGCCAGGAGGTAGGGCCACAACAGGGAAAAGTCAGTGAAGGCCCTAAAGGAGATGGGGCCAAAGTAAAGCAAAGATCCCACCTGGGGGAGAGAGTGGCAGCAAGGAGGCAGAGGGGGTCACAGAAGGGACCATAGGGGTCTCTGTGGGCCCAGGGGGTTGGTCCTGGCATTTGCTGGGACCTTCTGACCCCTTTCCCCCCACAGCTCACTCAAGGTCCATCTCCTGGATGACAGGCCGGGACTTGGTGCGGATGGTCTGCTCCGAGATCGAGCCCATGAATTTGCGGTTCTTCAGCACTAGCCATTCTGCAGAGACGCAGGGAAGGGATTAACAGGAGGGAATGGGCAAGGGGGAAACCACCCTCTTCACACCCCCTGCCCACCCAGCCCTGCCAGTGCCCCTCACTCCCAACCTGCAGCCCCCTGCACCCATCCAGCTGGTGCCCCTCAGTTGACCCAAGGGCCCCAACTCCCTCCAGCCCTACCAGTGTCACTCACTCCCTACCAGCAACCCCATCCCCAAGCTCTGCTGGTGCCCTTCACTCCCACCCTGCAGCCTGTCAGCCAATACCTGGGTGGTTTATGTTGGTGCTGTATTTCTCTGCAAGCCCTTCCAAGGCAACAGTGATGAAGAACTCCTTGAACAGTAGGTTGGCCTGGTGCAGACAGGGCAAGGGAAACCATATAGGTACAGGGGCAGCATCAGGTACCACCCACCTCAGCTCCTCCCCCACCACCAATCCCTCTACTCTTGTGCTCTCCATATTGCTCCAATAGCTGCTTGTGGCCAAGGAGTTCATCTAGCTGGGACCTCCCCCCTCCTTCGTTTGCCCACCCCAGCTGGGGGTACTGTGTGCGTGCGTGCGTGCAGAGAGCACCATGGGGGGTTCATGCTTGTGCGTGAGAGAGAGAGAAAAATACTGCGTGTGACAGGGAAGATGGTATTGGAGAGGGCTGCGTGTGTGTGCATTGGGAACGTAGTACTGAGGGGGCGGGCTGCATGTGCGCCACAGGTCATGGGGGGCAGATAGAAGGGGGTGCTCACCTCCAGCTTATTGAAGAAGCCTGTGTTGATGACCACATCATAGGCAGTGCACCCATTCCCACCTGCAATGGACCACACTGGTTAGTCCTGATGGGGGAAAGAGGGGCAGGCGCATTCCTCTCCCAGCTGCTCACCACTGGCCCCAAAGACCCGCAGAGAGGATTTTAAGGAGGGGTCAGGGCGGGGAGTGAGAAGTGCTGCAGTAAAGCCCAGCCGGGCAGTGGTCATGGGAGGGCCTGGCTTTGGGTTAGACAAGGGGGCCACAGGGAAAAAGTGGTGGAGAGGGAATGACTCACTCTTGTCCAGCTCGGCATGGGGCTCCCCCAGGCTCATGGGGATGCGGAAGGCCGAGGCACTGTCAGACTCAATCAGACACTCCAGCTCCTGGGGAGTTAGGTCGGGAGGTGGTGGGATGTGCGGAGACCGGCACACGTTCACAAAGACTTTTTCAGTGGGACTGGCATGGGTCTTAATGCAGAAGCCTGGAGCAAGGTGTGGAAGAAAGGGTTAAAGTCCTTATGTTGTGACCCGGAGCCCTGGACCCTCATCCAGTCCCACCAGTGCCCTTGACTCACTCCTTCACACAGGCACACGCAAACCCCACCCCAGTGCTTCTGCTCCTGACCTGGAGCCCCTTTACCCACCCACCTCCACAGCCTTCATTCCTAACCCATATCCCCCCTGGTCTCCCCAATGCTGGTGGTACCCCTCACTCCCAAACTGCAGCCAGCCCCCTCCCCCCCCTCCCCCAGCCCTGCCAGTGCCCCTCCCTCCCAATCCACAGCCTCCTGTCCCCTCTAGCCCTGCTGGTCTCCTTTACTCCCAACCTACAGCCCCCTGTTCCTCAAACTGTGGGCTGGGCTTCCCCCACCACCAAGCCCCAGACCGAGCTCTCTGTGGTGACAGCACTGTACCTGGCTGAGGCCGGATAGGTTTGGAGTCTGGAGCTGAAGGCATTGTGCTCTGTATCTTCTGCGTTGCCTGGAAGGAACGAGAGGGGGACAGTGATGCATGAAAGGCACTAGCTCCCACCCCAACCCTCCCCTCACCAGATCCCAGGGGAGACTCCCTCCACAACACATGCTCTGAGAGCCTGTGAAGTTCTACCCCAGCAAGATCCCAGCCTGTGACCCCCAACACCTCCCCCAGCCTGAAGATCCCCTTAGTGGGTCCTGCCCATGAGAATGATTTCATAGATCCTGCAAAGCACCCAGACCTGCCCCTCCCCCACCCCTTTACACTTCCAACAGGACCCATGGACCAATCTTTTCATCATGCCAGATGTCCCTGGCCCTAAGGGAACCACTGCTCCTGGATCCCAAAGGGTCTGATCCCCAAGCTGATTCTACCCTGTCACAGCATCCTAGAGCCGTGGGGCTGGCAGGGCCCCCCAAAGGTCCTATCCAGCCCAACCCCCCTGCCTGAGGCAGGGTCAGTCCCATCCATGTCTTGGTCCAACCTACTCCTAACACTACCCCACAGCTCTGTCACACAGCTACAAGGCCATCACCCAGGAATACCAAGAGCCTCCAAACCTGCCCCAGGGGAAGCAGGGGAATGAGGGCTAGCAGTGTCTGGCCACTGTCGGGTTGTTGCACATGCGGGAGAGATCCAAGGAGGAAGACACTGTCCCCACAACAAGCAAGGCAACACCGCCCCCCCTACTTGACCTGGAAGAAAAATCCTTTCCAAGGCCCCCACTTGATTCAACAGATGCAGAGAAACAATTACCATAAAGCTCATAACCTAAACCAGCAAAGCTCAAGTCATGTGGCCCAGATACAGGCCATGGGATAGATGACCCACCTCTGCAGCAGGACAACCCACTGGCCCAGCTCTGGAACCCAAGGGTGAATGTCACAGCCGTTCGGCACACCCCATGTTTCCCCTGATGCCAATTTTAATTGTTAAATGTAACAAAAGGCCCTGCATTCAGTACTGGGTGGGAGGATAGGAATAGAGGTTCAGGGGAGTGACAGCAGCATTTGGTCCTTGGGTCCTGAAGCTGCTACGGCTCAGGGACAAACCCAGCAGGTCATAGTTTAACTCCTTGAGGGACCGCCAGTTGGACAGACCAGTGTGGCCAACTTGCCACAGGCCAACCCAGCACCACCCCCCAGTGCCACCCTCGTCCCCTTGCTCTGCCCTTCGGTTGCTCTGCTTTTGACGCTCTGCCTTGGAACCCCTGCCCACCCGCTACTCCGCTTTCTGCTCCCTGTCCAAACGGTTGCTCTGTTTTGGCTGCTGGCTTGGCTGCTCTACTTGCAGCCCCTGCCCCATGCTCCCTGCCTTATCCACTGCTCTACTTTCTGCTCCCCACTCCGGGCCCCACCCAATCGGCTGCCCATGCTGGAGGCCGCCCACCTCAGTGTACGCACCGTGAGCCTGGCAGATCAACGCGGCAGACAGCCCCCAAAGCGGCATCAGAGCCAGGCTGGCCGGCGTCCTACAAGGCCCCACGCATAAAGCCGGCGACACCACATGCCCCCCCCCAGCCGCTCCCGACCTGCAGCAGCAGCCGCTGGAACTCTTCGTCCTCGTCCCCGTCCCTGTCCTCCTCCAGCTCGGCCGAGAGCAGCGACTTGTCCGTCAGCGCCGCCATCGCAGCAGCCAAGCGCCAGGCTGGGAGCAGGGAGGGACCTGCCGGAGGCGAAGGGAAACTGAGAAACAGAAGAGGACCCCCCCATTTCCACCCCGCAACCAGGAGGGAAACCAGGCATCCTCCCCCCCGGGAGAACCCAAGCGTCCGGGCGGCCCTCACCCCACTCTCCCCTGACAACAGTCGCTAAGGCCCGAGAACCCTACTTCCGATACTCGTGAGCACGCGCGAGGTTTAACTTCCGGGACGCGGGCTGCGCTGGGGGGGGGCGGAGCTGACCAGCAAGCCCCAGTTCCAATCACGATTGCACATCGGGGCGCCGCTCATTGGGTGTTCGGGCCGCACTTCCGGTCTTGAAAGGTGCCATTCCTGGTGCTGGAGGTGCCACACTTCCGGGAGCTGGAGGGAGCTCTTCCGGATGTGAGGGGCAGCACTTCCGGTATGGGAAGCCACTATCCCTCGAAGTTAAGGACCTTCCATCAAAGCGTAGTCTCTATGGTCTCTGGGAGGCCGGAAGTGGGTGCTTGGCCGTGAGGGCAGAGTCCGGCGGGAGCCTATGGCGGGGAGTGCGGGGGAAGGTCCCACGTCCGTACGGGGCATCTACGAGGCCCTGGACTACGGGCCTGCGCGCGAGGGGGCGGGGTCGGCCCAGGTAAGGGCTGCCCCGCCTCCAGGGGGGCCGGGGGGCTGCCCGGACGCCTGGGTTCTTTACCAGGTTGAGGGGAAGGCGTGGGGTCTGATGGGCTGGATCGGGGGGAGCCAGGTTCTATTGTGGGGTGGGGCAGGACGCCTGGGTTCTATCCCAACCCTAGGAAGGGGGTGGGGGCTGCTGGGTTAGACCAGGGCAGGAGTGGCTGGGACTTGGATGCCTGGGTCCCATCAGTTTTCCGCCCCCTACCAATGCTTGGGTCCCCCCCCAGCCTGTCCCTGCCTTGTGGAAGCTGCTGGACAGGAGCTGTGGCGGCACCAGGTTGAGGGGCTGGTGGGGGTGGCCTGGGTCCTGCCTGGGATGGGGGTGGGGTCTCCTCCGCAGGGCTGGAAACTCCTGTCTTCCCCATAATGCCCTTAACGGCCTCCCTCTAGCAGAGGGAAGCTGACGGTTTCTGTATGAACCTAAGCTCACAGCTTACTCTGCTAACAGACATGCCTGTGCACCTCTCCTTCCCCACAGGAAGGAAGTGGCCTGGAGTTTGCTATGTCAGCAAGTCCAGGGCTGGGACTGGGATAGAGGAACTCAGGCCATCTGGGCCCCTGGGGGTGAGGGGTGGGGAGGGGAGTCAGGAGCAAATGCCTCTCCCTCCCTGCCTTGTGGCTCAGCTAGTGAAGGTCAGGGTCTGGGGTGCAATCTCCCCCTGTCTAGGCCCATGCCCAGGAGCCACAGAAACCCCAGCAGAGGTTTCCTCAGAGCGGCTGCGGGCCGTGGAGATGGTGCAACTCGCCTGAGCTCAGGCTGTCGGGTTGAGCTGTGGGGGGCGGGGGAGCCCAGGCACCTTGGCTTCGAGCTTCCCCTGCTCTTAACTCACTGGACCCCTCTCCCCTTCCAGAGCTGGGCGTGAGCCCAGACATCCTGAATCCCAGGCCACACTGCGCTGAGCTTTACACCCTGCTCCCTCAGCTGCTGCCAGGGCTCCTACCTTCCTTCTCTGCAGTTCAGACAGAAGACTCTGCCTTCCCTGCCCCCCTCACTGAAAAAGAGCCAGGTCACAGCTCATCCCAGCTTCCCTCCATGCTTCTCATAACAGGGAGCTGTGACCTTATCAGTGATGTCACAGAAAGGAGACTCCATGAGTCAGGAGCAGTAGAGGGCTTAGGACACTTGCATTCCACACTCCATTACTAAGAGGTGGCAACAATGGGGTGACCCTAGAGGCTGGGAGCTGTAGCCAAAGGCTTTGACCTTGGATCCCAGGTTTGGATTTGAGGTCTGTGACTGCCTGTTTTGCTCTTCCCACTCCCCTCCAAGGCCTGGCTGGATGCCCACGGTCGGAGCTTGGGGCATTTCATAGATGGCAAGTGGTCCAAGCCAGAGGGTCGGGAGACATGGGTTTGCAAGAGCCCGGCCACAGGTAAAAGCCTGGACAGGGGAGGGGGACCCCTTTCCCCTAGCTCTGACCTGACAGGGTTAAACCCTCTCAAGAATGGGGGGTTAAGGTCTGAGGGAGCTCTATGCGAGTGGGTAGAGGGGCCGGGCTGGAGCTGTGGGCTGTGTGGGGCTTGGGGGAGGTGGGAGGGGTGTGACTATATTGGGCAGTGAGAGGCAGGGGGCAGAGCTCTCTACAGGGAACTGTGCCTGTATGAGGGAGGCGGCAGGAGGGTGGAGTGTGGGGCAAGGGGGCAAGGCCTTTGGGTTGATCTGGGCGGTGTGGGGTGATTTCTTCCCCACCCCCCACATTCTGTTGATCCCTCCCCTCTTCCTCAGGCAAGTCACTGGCCACCACCCTCCAGGGCCAGTGGGAGGATGTGGAAGCCGCTGTCCAGGCTGCCACCAAGGGCTTTGAGACCTGGAGCCGGCTGGCCTGCCATGCCCGAGCACGGCACCTGTATAAGTGAGCAGGGGGTGCAGGGGAAGGGGTTGGCCTCTCCCTCACCTCCGTGCCAGCTGGGAGCAGAGCAGTGCCCCTAGTGCGGGGACTGTATCTGCATTGGTGGCGGGAGGGTGTTGTAGTCTAGTGGCCACAGCCTGTATTGTAGCCTGGACCAAGCTGTGGGGCTGTGCCCATGCCCCTAGTGTGGTGGTGTGCCTGTTGGCACCGCCCCCTCCTGCCCCCCTCATACTGGGATTGGGCCCTGGGGGTCCAGCACTGCATCTGGTGTGCTGGGATTGGGTCTCAGGTGCCCAGCACCGCCCCCTCCTGTCCCCCAGGATTGGGTCCTGGGGGTTCAGCACTGCCCTCTCCCATTTCCTTATACCAGGATTGAGATCCAGATGGGGGGGCAGCACTGCCACTTTCTGTCCCCTTCATGCCAGGATTGGGTCACGTGGGTCCAGCACCACTTTCTGTCCCCTTCATGCCAGGATTGGGGCATGTGGGTCCAGCCCCCCCTGCCCCCCCTCCCCCAGCCTTCCTTGCACCACAGTTGGGTCCCAGGGGTCTGGCATTCCCCCCCACCCGCCTAAGCTTCCCGCACTGGGATTGGGCCGTGGGGCCTGGCACCGCCCCCATCCAGTCCCTGTATACTGGGATTGGATGCTGGCTAGGAGGTGCCTGGTGTCTCGAAGTGTGCCCTGTTGCCATCCTGTGGCCGTGGCCTGTAATGTGACCAGGACCAGCAGCTCCCTCTGCTGGAGAGCGAGATCTGCTCCATGTTTGACCCACTCCACCTCCAGCTGGGGCCTTATCCTGATTTGCAACTCCTTTACCCAGCCTGACCCGGATGATTCAGAAGCACCAGAACACCCTCACGGTCCTGGAGAGCCTTGATACTGGGAAGCCTGTGACGGAGGCCCGAGTCTGTGACCTGCCCTTGATTGTCCGCCACTTCTACCACCATGCAGGCTGGGCCCAGCTCATGCGGGTGGAGATGGGGGGCTGGGAGCCCCTTGGTGAGTGTTTAGCCCTAGCAGGCAGGGTCTGGGTGGAGCAGGGTCACTTGCCCTCTGCCCTTGTTTTGCTCTCTGCAGGGAGCCCTGCTATAAGGGGAAACTGGGACACAGATGGGGTGACTAGGTTATTGAGATGTGGCTCAGCTGAGCAGAGTGTCCCAGCTCCTTGCTCTTACCTTGTTAGATTCCCTCTTCCCTCCCACAACTGGGAGAGAACCCAGGAGTCCTGATTCTCACTTCCCCTGCTCTAACCCCCCCAGAGCCCACTCTCCTTCCCAGTCTGGGATAGAACCCAGGAGTCCAGGCTCCCAGGCTTCCCCTGCTCTGATCCCTTAGACCCTGCAAACTCCCAGAGCTGGACTAGAACCCAGGCATCTGGGATCCTAGACCCCTTCTGGCTGGAACCCACCAGACCCCAGTCTCTTCCCAGCATTGCTGGAAAAAACCCAGGCATCCTGGTTCTCTCTAATCTCTCTCTCTTTGTCTCAGGGGTGGTCTCAGCCATAATTCCCTCTGGTTCCCCATTGGTGCTGCTGGCATGGAAAGTCTGCCCTGCCCTTGCTATGGGTAGGTGTGTATTGGGAGGACGTTGACAGTTCCCCCTCCATATGCATGTCTCCAGGCCCCGTATGGGTGGGATCCTGCCAGTTCTGGAGGCTGTTCCCTGGGGATCCCCAAGCCTGAGCACCCAGTATGGGGTCCCCTACCCTTTATTAGGGTGATCTGGGTCCCCCCCCCCATGTATAGCTGGTTTCCCCCTTGCCCCCTCTGCCTTTCCCCCTCCAGGGAACACGGTGGTGGTGTTAGCTCCACCCACTGCCCAGCTTTCTGCCCTGCTGCTGGCTGAGCTCTGTACCCAGGCTGGGCTTCCCTCGGGCATCCTCAATGTGATCGCAGGGGCCGAAGCACTGGCTGGGGTCCTGGCCACCCACCCTGGGGTTGATGCTATAGCCTTCACCGGCTCTGCTGAGGTATGTGCCTGGAAGGGGTTTGCATGATGAGAACCAGCTTTGCATGAGGGCTATGGGGTCGCCTGCTTTGGTGTGCACGGTGGCTTTTCATGAGAGCTTGGGGAGGGCACCCCTGTGTGCAAGGCAGCTTTGCATGAGGACTGGAGCACCAATCCACACACAGGGTCTTTGCATGAGGGGTCCTGGGAAGGTGGCTGTGGTGTGATGTGTGCAAGTGAGCTTTGTACCTAGGCTTTGGGATTCGCTTCACAGGTGGTCTGTGTGTGTGGAGTAGCTTTGCGTGAGAACTGGAGGATCCTTCCATGTGCAGGGGGGTGTTTCACTAGGGCTGAGGATCTCTCTGTGTACAGGGCAGCATTGCACGAGGGCCCACAAACCTCTCCGTATGTAGGGCAGCATTGCATGAGGTCCTGGGGACCTCTGTGTGTATGTGAGGGGGCACTGTATGAGGGCCCAGAGACTTTTGTGCCTGCGAGGGAGCTTTCTAGCCTCCATGCTGACTCTGTGCAGCAGACAGGCAGATCTTGGGGAAAGCCAGGATCAAGGGCTGGGAAGGTTTCCGAGAATGTCAGTGTGTGCGCGTGTATGCGTGCGCGCGAGTGCATGGGGCGAGGGGGAAGCTGGGTGCCACCTGCCCCTCCTCCCCGCTCCCCAGCTGGGCCGCAGCCTGCGCCAAATGACAGCCGGACTGGGGAAGAGGCTCTCCCTGCAGCTGGGGGGCAGGACCCCTGTCCTCATATTCGAGTCGGCTGACCTGGATAGCGCTGCCACGGAGCTGACAG